CCAGCTTCCGCTCAAGGGAGCCAGTGCAAACTGGCTCCTACATGGGTACCTCAAAAAGTTCTTGGTAATGCATCATATGAGAAAACCATGTTTGTATTTCATTTTTTTAAAAAACAAACTTGTCTTTTAACATTTTCCATGGACTTTTTGAAGTACGTTGGTATGTCTTTTTATAGTCCTGTGTTGGCATTTGCTAGCTTCATCACTTCCTGGCATAACAAAATGTGTAAATACGTTCCCTGCTCTCTTCCTGCAATTAGTCATTTCTCCTAGGAACTCCTATTTCTTCCCATGGAGAATAATATGTAGAAACCAAATCAGGACCTTTGGGATGTTCATTAACACAGGTTGGCACTGCGGGCCAGCGCCTTTCGATGGACAGAGCAAAGATGGAGCTTTAAATTCTCCTTTTAAAAATGTGTGTATATCTGTGTGTGCCTATCTTTAAATTCTAAGTTTGTGCTAATATTTATAATTCCAGCCTAAATGGGTAGGTTGCTACCTAATGTAAAAAAATATATAATTTTATAGCTTTTCTTATATACTTTTATAGGTGGTACTTTTCTTACTTATATACTTTTATAGCTTTTGTGTGGTGCCGGGTCGGGGGGTGTCGGTTACATGGGGGGGGTTAGACAACGCGAAATGGTTTCAAAATGTGGGGGGGGTGTATGTGCGGGGGTGTGTGGCCCGGTCAGTGTGTGCCTGTGTGTATCTGTCTGTGTGTGTGGGGGGGGTGGGTGTGCCTGTGTGTGGGTATCTGTGTGTGTCTGTCTCTGTGTGTCTCTGTGTGTGTGTGTGTGTGTGCGGGTGTCTGTGTGTGTCTGTGTGTGCCTGTGGGGTGTGTGCCTATGTGTGTCTGTCTCAGTGTGTGTGTGTGTGTGTGTGTGTGTGTGTGTTACTCAAATAAAAGGACAACACTTCCCTCGAAAGGCTGAACTTCCTGTGAGAGCAGCTTCCAGCCTGCACTCCATCGCGTGCTTAGCGTGGCAGGCCAGCGGGGGGCACGGAGCCTTAAGGAGCAGGGTTGGAACACACCCAGACACCTGACTGGAGGGACAGATGGCTCAGCTCCTGGGACTCTGCGCTTCCTGCAACGCTCCAGTCTCCTCCCGCACCGCTGGACCGCTGCACAGACGTGCGCACCATAAAAGCCACGGAGATGCCCTAGGCTGCCACCGTCTCACCCTGCAGGCTTTGCACGTGGCTGTGTTCAGGTGTGCCCTCGCAAACAGCCTGCCCGATCCGCATGGCTGTGTTCAGGTGTGCCCTCGCAAACAGCCTGCCCGATCCCTCTCCTACCCCATCGGGGGAAGGCACCCTTTTCTTCCAGGCTCCCACGCTCCAGCGACATTCGTTTGCTCAAGCACACAGCCCATTGCGCTGTGTCTTCTGTACTTGTCTTCCCCACCCAGAGGACAATGCACAGCACACAGGCGTGAACTGGTCCTTGATCTTTATGCCCCGGAGCCCAGCGCCGTGCGTGAGCCCACATCAGTGGCTCCCTGTGCACTGGGGTGCTCACTCACACAGCCCTGCCTGAAAGAGATGGGGGCAGCCCTCCTCCCTGCCAACTTCCTTTGCCTTAAAAATGTTGACCCACATGCTCTTTTCCCTCACAACACACAAAATCCCCGGAAACAGAAAGCCACGTGCAATGGAAGCCAGGAGGGGGCGATCTACTGCCCATTGGCCAAATCTAAATCACTGCTGATTTTTAATATTTTGTTTTTCTTTGTTTAAAAAGCAAAGAGATAGAGATCTTCCATCCACTGGTTCACTCCTTGAATGCCTACAACAGCTGGGACTGGGCCAGGCTGAGGTCAGGAGCCTGGAACTCACTACGGGCCTCTCGGGTCTGTAGCGGGGACTTAGCTACTTCCACCATCACTCGCTGCCTCCTAGGGTGTGCGGTAGCGGGAAGCGGAAGTCACAGCTGGAGCCAGGACTCGAATCCGGCCCCTCCAATGTGCGATGGGGGTGTCTCCAGTGCTGTCGTAACTGTCTACCCTCACTGCTCATTCGGATAAGTAAGTGTTACACGTTGCCTTCTGGCAGTTCATTGACATACTACTGCCCTGGGCTCTTTCTATGCTATAATGGAAGAACTGAGCAGTTGTAACAACGACCGGCCCGGAAGCTGGAAATATTTCCTATCTGTCCCTTTCCAGAATGTCTCCTGACTTTTTTCTAAAGATTTATTTATTTTTACTTGAAAATCAGAGTTGCACAAGAGGGGAGAAGAGGCAGAGAGAGAGAGAGAGAGAGAGAGGTCTTCCATCTGCTGGTTCACTCCCCAGTTGGCCACAACAGCCAGAGCTGTGCCGATCCAAAGCCAGGAGCCAGGAGCTTCTTCCGGGTCTCCCACATGGGTGCAGGGGCCCAAGGAGTTGGGCCATCTTCTACTGCTTTCCCAGGCCATAGCAGAGAGCTGGATTGGAAGTGGAGCAGCCAGGACTTGAACCAGCGCCCATAGGGGATGCCAGCACCGCAGGTGTCAGCTTTACCTGCTACGCCACAGTGCCGGCCCCATGACCCTGACTTTAAACAAGTTCAGATCTCACTGTCAGCTCTCTGTGGTCCACATGGATCTGTGTGTCACAAAACAGTTCAAGGGAAATGCTGATTAACAGTCCAAGAAACACTGCCACGTTTTCTGTAGCACTCACTACGGGTCAAGTGTTTTTTATAAATTAACTCAGATAAGTCTCCTAATAACCTTGTCATGTAGACACTCACATGCTCCCCTTTTACAGAGAGAAACTGAGCAACAGAGGTGAAGAAACTCGCCCCCCGCCACTCAGGTAGGGAAAGGCAGGGCTGGGGTCGGAAACGGACAGACTCCTGAGACCACAGTCCTGCTACGGGCCTGCTTCTCTGAGGGGCTCGGCACCAGGACCACCCAGGACAGAGCAGACAGTGAGTGAGTCCTCCCCTGATCTGCTGCCAAGAGTTTCAGCATGTCAACGGATTCCAGAGTCGGGCTGCTCTCCTCCAGGGCTGAGGATCACTCTCAGTCCTGGCTGCTCCACTTCCGGTCCAGCTCTCTGCCCACACGCCTGGGAAAGCAGCAGAAGGCGGCCCGAATGCTTGGATCCCGCCACCCACACGGGAGACCTGGATGGAGTTCCAGGCGCCTGGCTTCAGCTTGGCCCAGCCTCGGCAGTTGGCACCATTTGGGGAATGAACCAGCAGATGGAAGATAATCTGTCTCTCTCCCTCTCCCTCCCTCTCTCCCCCCTCTCCCTCTCCCTCTCTCTCTCCCTCCCCCTCCCCCTCCCTCTCCCTCTCCCCCCTCCCTCTCCCTCTCCCCCCTCCATCTCCCTCTCCCTCTCCCTCCCTCTCCCTCTCCCTC